TGTGCCAATAAAAAGGTTAAAAATGGATTTTAGTTTCTCAAATAATAGTCACCTTTTAATCAATGTATTTTTTTTAATTTGGTGGCACACTAGTTTTTTTAGACTAGATTCATTAGCAAGACGAAAATTTTAACCATTTAATTTTAACATTTTCAAGTTTCCTAAACTATTAAAGTTAAAAAAAAAATCATTATAAGATTCAAAAATTACAAGCTGCCACAACTATTCTGCATGCCACCATTTTTTTTTTTTAATTTGGTGGCACACTTGAAACTACACATAAGTATATGTTGTATTTGATGCCAACGTCCATTGCCCCTAATATGAACTATATATCTGAAAACTTTTCAGATTTTAAAAAAAAAAAAAAAACAATTGTGATTTTTTCGAGTGACAATGAAAAAATTTATAATTTCGGTGCTTTTTGGCTTAAAGAAACGTTTTAAGGCTCAAATTGTTCAAATACTTGATTTATTTTTTATTGTACTTGCTTCTGGAACTCCATTGATTGAAATATATGCAAGAAGAATGCTTTAGCGTTGTTTTTTTCTAATGAGCGAAGGAAGTGACACTAAAATGAATAACTCCTGAGATTAGCTCATATACAGTAACGCGACACAAGGTTTCACTATTTGTTTTTTCAATATTTTTTAAGATATATTTTTTTTGTTTGTTATTTGTTTATAAAAAATACTGTTCACTTTTTAAGCAAACCCATATAAATAAATAAATGTTTACACTTTATATAAAGTTTAGAAAAATTCGACAAACTTTCATCAAAATTTTGAACTTTTTAAACTGAATCTTTAGAAAATTTTTGAGTATGCAGTTTTATAGCCCACAAAGTTTTAATGCAAGTTACAAATGGCTAAATTTTTTTTTTTTTTTACTTATAATAAAACATACTTTTACTCGAAAATTTTGTGAGCATTTAAAAAAATCAACGTGTGAACACTTTCTTCGGTCACTGTATATAATATTTGCATGTATGTAAAACCGGCATATTTTCAAAATTGTTTCCCCACTATTACAATTTCATTTTTGGCATCAAGAAAGCTATCATTTGCCAAAACGCGCCCTTCACAAGCTAAGCAAAATATTTAATCTCAATCTTTGACTCGTTCTGCTCAACCAGCCGACCATTTTAACAAAACATCTAACTACATATCGTCGTCTCAGAAAACGGATGTCGAATGTTACAAAACACGGTTTTGAGAAAATTGACTTTGAAGTTTAAGGTCGAATTAATCCGAAACTGTACGGTAGATTTTTGTAACTTTTGAAGGAGACGTAGTTGGTGTTATTAGTTTTGATTTCCCATATTTTTACATTTAATATCTCTTAACGTTAATGAGAAAATTTACTTTTCATTCCGTATACATTTGTCGTAAGTAGCGTTTACTCACCACTTTGTTTTGTCCACAGAACATACGACAATAGTAAAGTATCTATTTCAACGACGATGGTATAATTTGATGACAAAAACAGACATATTTATTAAATAATGATTACTTATTAGAAAAATCATAACAAAAACATAATCATGTATTTAATAAAAAAAATCTGTACATCTCTTATGCTGTAAATATGTTACGAACATACGTTTTCTTTATATAAAAACAAAAAACAATACTTAAATTCAGTCTTTTGTACAATTTTATCTCTTTCATTTCATTGGAGACTCAGTGCTAGCTAAAATTTAAAAATTTAAAATTTTAAAATTAGTTACTTAGTTTAATTTTCAATTTTAATTGTATCGTTATAGTAGAGGACCATCCAATTGTCGTAAGTTCAAAGTTTTGCGATACATACGACAAATGTTTTATGATTAAAAAAAGATTACATTTGTATGGGAATTTGTCGTATGTGCCACATACGACAAACGTTTTATGATTAAAAAAAAGGTACGTTTGTATGGGAATTTGTCGTATGTGACGCATTTTCAGCACATACAACAAAAGTCATACCCAATCATTAATATTAAATAACATACGACAAAATGCGCACGAAATATCTCAAAAACTAATGGAGATATAAAAAAATGGATTGCAGAAATCGAAAGAGCATGTCCAACTTAGTAAATCTGCATCAAAATCCCAAAATCGTGATTTTGCACATTCGTCATCCGTTTTCTGAGACGACGATATGTATGCCAGCTATCAGTCAAACATCGATCAGTAAAATGGTCCCATATAGGCTGCGTTTCTTTATACATTCCGGATAATCCAATTTCACAGCCGGAATAAACAGAATGCGTTTGAAATATACGTCAACATATCATCAGGAACGTTCTTAAGAATAAATAAACAAAAAAGTTTATTCCAAACGTTCAGAATGAATAAAGAAATGCAGCCATAATATCTTTATTTTTTGTTTTGTGTTTTAGTAACCACATACTGATAGAATTTAAATTTTCTGCACATGTTTGCTTTAGTTTATTAACCAGTGCTTTGTAGAACATAGCTACATGTTCACAAATATTTTTAAGATACATACATACATTTTCGTTTGTATTTACTTAGGGCTGTTTTCTTAGTTGAGATTTTACTCACTTGCGCCAATCGACTTTAAACGTTTGTACTGAAAATCAATGTATGCTTAGTTAGCCGTCTATTGTAAGTTAGCTGGGCATTGTAAAAACGGCCCTTATTAAGACAAATGTTTATTTAATTTAATTAAGTTTCTACCCTATGCTCGCTCAAGTGCCCTCTCAGTAAATTCGTCAAGCTTAAGCTTGAAGCAAGCCAGTGACGTTTATTTACCTAGTAAAAAAATATAAAAAATGTAATAAAAAAATTTGAGTTTTATTCCACTGCCTAAAACACCATTTTCCTTCCAGCACCGTAGCGTAATGAGTCTATAACAAACAAATGTTGACGTCATGCCGCTGGGCCGTCACGCCAAATCGAATAGAATCGTTTATGAATTCCTCGCTCAAGCGTATGCGATTCGATTTGAAGTATTGTTATTCTGTTGACTTGTGTTGATTTTGAATTGCGTGTTTGTAGTGCAAAGAGCGGTGTTAGGTACATATATATGTACATACATATACATATGCACGGACATGCATTTATTCAGGACCAGGTGGTACAGTGGGTCGTAGTTTTAAAGTATGCGCAAAAGGACCAGTTTGCATACTAGTAACTTGTTATGCTGTGCTGACCTGAACCACTTCACACGTAAAAAACTGATACATGTGTTGAACACCACGTCTTCGTAGCCCATCCAAAAGGAGTAGTTGTCTAGGTGGTCCCATGTTATGCAGCGGTGGATCAATGTTAATGTAACCAAATTTCTTCCATACATATATTCGAACCATTTTGGTTACTAGTGTTGGTTACAAGGTAGTGTGATCCTGTTGGTTCAATTCATTCAAGTATTCGCTTCATAAGGTACGAGTACATAGCGCCGAACCATCGAATGTATGCCAATCCACGCAAGTATAACTTCAATATGGCATTTTTTCGTTTTAGTAGTGAATGCCCAACAGGAACACATAAGCCAACAATTTGGAAAAATGCGGTTCAGGGGAGCCTCGCCTATCAAAAGCCGAATTTAAGGGTCAATAGAGCATTTAATAATGATTCGGAATAATTTCCATCGCAGAAGAACTCTTCGTTGTTTAAAACATTTTTCTAAATGAAAACTGTCAATATTATGGCTTGAATGGCTTCTTCATCCGGCAGAGCTTTTTTCTTGAAACTCGGATCTACTAAGCTGAAAACTAATAAAACGATATTTTACTGTTGCCATAAGTTCAAGTTTTTTTTGGCCGATATCATTTTCTAAACTTGAAATTTATTTTATGGTGAAAAAAAGAATCGGTGTCGGGTACCGAAATGGAAGTATTGGGTACCGAAATCTTTTTGAAGTATTGGTTACCGGGTATTGGGCACCGACCATTCAGGACATCACTACTACGAAAATATTGCTTTCGTATGCAGTTTATGTATTCCTCGTTGAAATGAACAGTTCTGTTTTTTTCTTATCAAATTGAAATTTATTACAAAACTTCCACGCACGTATATATAATTTTTCAGTTTATATTCATATATGTAAGTAAACGCGAGCAACTAGTAGATATTTGTTGTAGCTCACTTTTTCCTGCTGGGTTCTCGCAGTTTGTTCAATTTTGCAAATTCATTTGCACTCTATTAAATGGATTCGAATATTGACAATTAAGTACAGTTTTCTTTTAAATTTTATTGATTCTTTGCTTGATAATTATTGCGTTTCATAAGTTTTTTTTTTTGCGTTTTTCGTTCATACAGGCAGGCAATTATGATTTATTGTTTCGGTTCCAGTATACATATCGATACCTAATGGTAAAAAGGTGTCAAGTCCACTTTTTCAAAATTTAGCTTTAGATGCAGAATGACAGAGAATGCAAAACTACATCGATTTTTAGTCTCTCCTAAAGAATTAAAAAAAAATGGATTCGGCACCTTTTCACCTTTAGGTAACGATATACAAATTTATGCATCCAATTAAAAAACTATAAATACACCACACCACTCTCCACTTATTTTTTTTTTTTTAATTTTAATTATTTTTAATAGTTTATGTTTTCACAAAACAACTATTGAGATATGTTTCAAATTTTATGCAATATTTAAAAACAATGCAACAATCTTTCATAAAAACGTCAAGCTTTTTCTTTTGAAGCTTTTGACAAAAATTTTGGTATATAGTTTGGTAACCCAATTTTAATATAATAAAGTGCAAGTCTGCAGTTTTTATAAACATTCCTCAAAATTTGAAACTTGGATTTGTATGGATTTTCTTATGAAAAAAATAAGGAAAATTAAATAGGAAAAGAATATATTTTTATAACTTGTCAATATCGAGTTTCGAAATTCGTTTGTATGTATGTATTTTATCTTTTGTTTAATGACTTTGATTTTTATTTATAATTTGTTTATTTATTTAATGAATAAACTCGTTTGTAAAATACTCCTTACAATTAACTAATTTTTCATTTTACTTACTTATTTTTGCAGATTTTAAACGATCTACAGTTTGCGATACAAACGATACAGCTTCGGCACCCGAGACAATGCCAACAGAAGACTACAGTGAGGATTGGTCCTCAACGGTGCCGCAAACAGGCAATCGTTCACCACTCATGAGAAGTTGCTCTACACCAGCTGTTTATGGTGAGTTTTAAAAATATACAGTTGAATAAGGCACTGACAAGAGATGAAATGAAAACTAACTGAGGCACCGAATTCTAACTTTCATTCTTTAACTAAGTAGCTTAGACGGAATCGAAATAGTAATCGAAGGTTGTGAGAACTGTAACACTTCCCAGTTTTGGCGTTGTTTTTCTTCAATAGTTCTTTTTAGACACATTAATTGTAGCCGGCAGACATTGCCAGGGATGCTTAAAGATGACTTGCACATGCCGTCAGACTTGCCATGAACCGGGCTCAAAGCGCTATATCGCAGAGTTTTACGTTTGGTATTCTGGTAGAGCATCCATTATTCATTTCCAGTGGCAATCTGTGGCAACAAAAAAGCTTAATATTTTTCGTCTTTCAAGCAGCCTTCGCAAGTTATATTGACACTTTAACCGAAATAATACACTCGCTTGCACTTGAATGGGCGCAATGCTTTTTCGCTGTTTTTTCTTATAGTTAGTTTCTATTATTATTCGAGGTACAGTTCATTCTCTTATAAAAATCATGTAAAGACAAGTTTCAAACTTTGTGGAAAATTGAAAAAGAATTGAAAATTTTTTTATAAAATTTTCTTTTATTTATTTTCCATTGTTTTTCAACTAAAAAATAGCTCATTCGCTAAAAAAGTCGTTTAAAGTCTCAAACTTTTTGGAAAAAAAAATCAACAAATTTTCTTCAAACATTTTTCTTAGAACCTTTAGAAAAAACCCTGGCATGCAGTTTTGTAGCCCATTCAATTATAATGTAATCAAGTGTAAGTTTGGTATAGCTACAAATTACCGTTAATTTTTGACAACGGTTTTACTTGCGGCACTCTTCCACAATTTTTTCCATAAAAAAAAATGCGACAATAAAATTGAATGAGCTACAAAACTGCATACTCAAAAAAATTCCTAAAATTCAAATAAAGAATTTTGAAGTTTTGATGAAAATTTTTTGCCCAATACCCAATTAATGGTTGCACAAGACAAGCGTCGTAATGTCTTAGAACCATACAATTTGCATATGAAAAAGTTGACTCATTTTGCCAAAGAATTTTGCATTTTCTTACGCAATCTTCCACTAGCTTGAATCTAAGCAAGCTGCAGCTAACTACATTTACAATTTAAAACATAAAAATATGAGGCAATCAAAACGTGCATTGCATGAAATTCTTGAAACATGTTTCGCATAACTGCGATTCAAAACAAAAAAAAAAAAACAAAATTATGAACTAAAGATTTCCAGACTACTTCCTAGCTCATAAGTTTTCATAATCAAATTCACCACCTTTGTCACGCGTACAATCATGCACTCACACACGCATGCCATCACTTGCATATGTATGTGCATAGGTATGCCTGTAGTTGCGCATATTTGTATGTGATTTAAATGAATATTTATTTCCTCATCAACGCAATGCGCGTCTAGTTGAAAACACGCTATATATGTATGTTCAGTAGACTACTTAAATGTAATATTATTAATAAAAATCTGTCAGTGCCAAGTTGGCGCACAAAATAATTTGTTTGGCGTTCACCAATAGCCAGCACCAGCGAGCGAGCGAGCGACCAAGCAATAAAATGCCATACGAAATATAATGGCGGCACAAGGCAAGCAATGGCTTTCAATTAAAAACGCATTACTGCATTAAAAGCGTCCAGTCAATGCGAAATCAAAGCAGCCATGCAAATAACGACAGCTATGGCGACAAATTTTAACTTGTGCACAGCGCAAAACGTACGCAAATTAGTTAATAATAAATGCGTAATTTAAAAGTAAACAATTTACTAATTTATATTTATTTCTTTACTCTGCACTGATTTGCTGTTTTTCTTTTTTTAAGTAAATGCGCATAAATTTGCTTTTGTTGTAATTAACAGCGCTGAGCACGTGCTGTATGCACGCCAAATGCCTACACAACAAACATTACCGTGCAACTACAGTAGTCGATGCTATTTGGCTGCGTCCTGCACTTCAACACTTCAACCAGATTGCTCATACGCCGCGTAGTACTGCATGCGCCACAAAACCATTCTACTGAAAGTAGTCAGTGCGCTCTGATAATTATCTACAACTCAATGATGCAAATCAGCTACTGTACACATGCTAATAAGTATTAAAGTGCCTTAGCGTTCATGTACTTGGTGTTGTAGTTGTTGTTGTTGCATTTTCACCTTCACAAACCGGCGCGAAAATAACAAAATAATTTACAATTTCTTTTTGCGCAAAAGCGAAAAACTTCCGTCACTGGATGAATTAGTTAGAGAAATATGTAAATACAATGCACACATGTTTACAAATTTACACAGGCATATGTAGTACATGTGCATGTAAATGTACATTAGAGTGCATCACTATCCATACAAAAAAAAAACGGCGCTGTTTCTCCATCGGCATCATACAATTTGTTATATTTCAAGACCTCCGCCAAAATATTTGGGAAAAAGTATTAAGATTTACGTAAGCTGTAGCGAATCGAGTCTTTCATTTGAAAAAAAAAAAAAACAAAATACTTCCGAAATATATTATTTTCTAAAAAGTCATCTCAGCTGATAGCAGAGTTTAAAATGCTGTCTTTAGCTCTCAAGAAAAACGAAAAATTCATAAAAATGACTTACATGAAATCGAAAAGTAATCTCCTTCTATCAAAATTTCTTAAGTCAGTATGCAGCTATCAAAAAAAAAAACGCGCTGATAAATATTGCTTCAAGAAAACTTAACAGCAACGTACTTTTTCTAGCAACAGAAGTAATGAAAATTTTTCTTATAATTTTTCTTGAGCAATGCAGCTTAAAAAGTCTATTTAAAAATATTTAAACATTTTATCAGCAAATCAATCAAAATATTGATATTTTAGGAGATATTTTCAAAACGGGCCAGCTCTCGTAAATCTTAATATTTTTCCAAAACCCCCACTTATTTTAGTGAGCCACCCTAATGTGCATATGTAAATGTAATTTTAATGAGCTCCGCTTCGAGCATTTGGCGCTTATTTTGTATTATTATTGGCAAATAAATAAATGACTACGCGGTATAGAGGAATACTCATTCGAGTTCGCCTATGGGGTACCGATTATCTCTTATTGCTGGCGCTGGCGCTGACACTGGGGCTGACGCTGACGCTGCTAATGCGCGTCACTTATGCCCTCGGTGACACGACCGATAAGCGAATGTTTTTAATAGATAAATAAATGAAAATATAATTGTTGTATTTGTGTAGACATATGTGTATGTATATGTATGTATACATACACATAAGTTTAAGTCTTCATATTAGAGTTCGAAAGCAAAAATGTATAACATTTAAGTATTTAAAAGACTTAATTACTTATTTTTTTCTGTCGTTTAAGTTGTCTACCTTTACATATATTTATTTATCAGTTTTACCGCTTTCTGCCTTCAGTTGTTGTAATGGCATTCATTATTGAACTTAATCAAAAGAGACTTCCACATTTCATCCGATAACAGTGCTTTGCACAGTTTCGGCGCAAGAGAATATACGACTAGTGGGTGATTATACATTCCAATATTTGTGTATGTTTGCACATTAGACCATACAAGAAAAAAAAATCGACGTCCTTTTATTACATTTTTCGTCATATCTCCGGCATTCGACGGATCTCAAAGTATGATATATCGATATTTTCGCGTCGAGGAGAGAATTTTTTCGTTCCAATGTTCACTGACCTCAAATACCCTGTTCCAGAACTTACCCTACAGATTTCAGTTTTTACCAACCTAATGTTCGCCCTAATGTCAGTAAATTAGCATGCACTAAAAATCATTCAACTGTTGCTAAGGTGGTATTTCGATTATTTCAGTGGAATTATTTGAATAAAAAAAAAAAATATTGCCGAAGTGATATTTGTACTCTTACATACATATATAGGTGTCACGAAAAAATGTAAAAAGGCGACGCATGGTTTGGCGAAAAAAAATTTTCGAAGTTGCCTTACACCCCTAAATGTACGGCGAACATTTTTTTTGTTTGCTTGCAAGATTGTATGGTCTAATGTAAATATATACCTATGTAAATATATAATCATTCACATATCGTATATTATAATACATACATATGTCAGCCCTAAATTTATATACTTTCGGTACCTATATCCCATAATTTTATTCATGGTATCAGCGCCACTTGCTTGACTCAATCGATTATCAGTTAAACTTTACACAATCAAATAACTTTTGTTGCGTCAGTTTTTCGTCTACATTTATTAGCCTACTTACCCTTAATAAACTTGCATGTGTCATTTACACTCCTTTATTTAAGTTATTGTGAAATTAATTGTGGTAAATCTGCATCATCTAAAGCGACATACATACATACATACTTGTTGTTAGCTTCTACTTACATTACTCAGCAGGATCAGCTGGTGACGTGTCACCCATAGTTCTTACTTGCATATACATATATGTATGTATAATGATCATATACACAATAACAATAAGCGGCCTGTTATTAGTCACTTAATGACTAGGATGTGCTGGCTTTTGTGCGTATATATTACTATTTTTGCATACTCGAAAGTCACCAAAGCGACATTCCCTAAACATTTGCAATCTATCGCTGAATCAGCGAAGCCGTGGGTTGGTCTGAAAAGACCTTTCAGAAGGTTAACATCGTAGCTTACTAATACCGTGCTATACTTAGAAGAAAATTAGTCATAAATATGACAGAAAATGTTTCAAAAATTACTAATATAGATATAGTTATGACTCAAAAAGATCATGAATACTGTAACGTGGCAGGTCTCATGCATGACCTCATTACAATTTATGGCAAAAAAAGTTAAACAAAATAATAAAGCCAATGATGTACTTATAAACCAAATCAGGTGGAGTGAAAGGTGCTTGGGATATTCTAGAATTTTGGAAGATCTGCCAGCAGACTTCAGGCACTGAAAGCAGACTTTTGCACTGCATTTCAAGCAGATTATCGTAAAGAGTTCATTCAAATTTAGACAGGATTACCTAAAAATAAAAAA